ATAGTAACTTTACCTATTTTCTTTGCCCATTTAAAATTCTCCACCAGCTTTTTCATATGACACACCCACTTAAAGCATATGACTTTATTATTTAAATTAGTCCTTGAATAAGTAGAAAAGTTTATTCGCCTGCTGTATATGCTATCAAATAATTTCTGAGAGTTAATTACTTTTCATTCATCATAAAAATTGACCTCGCCTGTTTCTTTAATTAATTCTTTTATGAACAAAAGATGAACAGAAAAATTAAAGAGTTGATTCAGGATAAAATTGATGGATGAATGGGGATTGTGTATTTAATTAAAAACGAAATAATAAAAAAAGCAAGACTTTGTCAAACTCATAAATAATATATCAAATGTTTTCTCAAACGAATAATTTTTTGTATGCAATTGTTCGTTACCTTTTTCATTAAATTCAGTAAGTTCATTTTGTAAATTTATCATTCGCTTTCTCCAGTCTTCTTTCTTTCCAACTTTTCCTTTCTTTTTCAATTCGTCTTCTGTTCATCACTCCATTTCTCATCCATTAACACATCCTCCAAGTCATCCAACTGCCTCTCTTAAATTTCTTCAACTCTTTCTCTGCCTTTCTATGTTCACATTTTGCCTTATTTTTATCCATTCTAATTCCATCGATTGTTGTCATTTTCTAACATGTAAAAATTTAAAAATTAAAAAAAATTTGTAATTTAACTTTCACCATTACTGCTATTATCATTAAGATTTGTATCTTCTCTGCTTTCATTATCTTCATCAACTTCACTCTCTATCTCTTTCTTCTTAACCCATTCCTGATTTGCTTCCATCGTTTTACTTTATGATTAGTTTTTCGTAGAGGTTGGAATCGTCCAAAAAAATCCTTAGTCGACTACTAGTTGGCTAAAATTTTTTTTTTATAATAATAATATTTCGTTTGTTTTTTTTTTTTTTTAATTGCAAATTACGAGTTCATTTCCATTTGAATCTTTCACTTTTTCAAAATGCTTCCACACAAAACCATATGTTACGATTCGTTTTTTTAAAGGTCTTCTGGAACCACCGCTTAAATCATTGGAACTTGAAGCCAATGAACTATTAGACCTTGTATTGGAAGTGTTTATTCATTCGCATGTAAAATTATCATCAACAACACCATTACTATTGTCGTCATCATAGTATTGATGGTATTGATACTCTTCCGCATAGAAAGTTTCCATTTGAATGGTAAAACACGAAAATCGTAATTGGTCAGACAATAATAATATTAGCATAGTATTAGTATTAGTATTAGTGGTATTAGTAGTCGACTATTACTTGTTCAAAAAAAAGTTTAGTCAACTATTTTAGTCGATTCCAACCTCTAGTTTTTCGTTGGTAGGAGTATTTGATAGTAGAGACGGCAACTCCTTTCTTTCCAAGTAATTCACAATTTTTGCTGAATGAAAAATCAGGATTCAATTTAACTTTCTCATCAAATAATTGCGTGATGCCTTTCCATAAAATCTCAATGTCTTTCAGGTATTTCTTTCACCAACTATTCTACCCGGTCTGTATTTTCTCCCAGGATTTATTTCGTCGATTATTTTATCAAATAAATAAATATTTAGTAAAAGTTCCAATAGTATTTAACTTTAATTATACATTTATATTAGAGAATGTATTTATTCACCTATTTGTAGTATTTTAAACCATTCAAAACAATCATAAGTTACTTAAATTCGTGCGTGTTATTTAAGCGAAAAATCATATAGAATTTCCCTTTCGAAACTCTTGGAAACCAATTTAGAAAATGTTCTGGAGTTTAGAAAGAAAAACTCTGATCAAATTACATTTTAAAAGAAGGTCTATCTTCAATTTGGGAAACGTTTATAATTAAAGAAAATAAACATGAAGATTAATGGTCATGACAACTTTTCTATTTTCAAGAAACATAAAAAAATTTTATCACCAAAAATTTTATTTAGAGTCAGGTGACTCTTTTCCTCTTTTGACACTGTTATTTACATCTAAAATATCGTTATATATAAGAATAAAAAAATCTATATATATAATAATTTTATCTACACATATATGATAAAATTATACTAATTTCTAAAGCACCATCAATTTAATCCATTGAATAGACAAGAAGACAAGTTTCGCCATCGGAAGGAGTTAGTCACCATCAATATCTGGCAAGAATGTCTGTGGATGTTTATTATCAATCCTTACTTGGAGATTCATCAATTGAATCATTTCTTTCACAAAATTTTCAAAGTCCTCAAAAACAACTGGTATTTTCATAAGTGAAAATTGATTCATCAAATAAACTGAAGGAAGAGGTCGAATCAAGTATTTAATATTGACATTTCCATCTATGTAGAAAACATATATGTGTAATAACTTTTCCATGATCTGGTTTCTAATTTTGATACTTACTGATTGAATGAGATATACTCTTGCCATTTCTTTTGGTGTATTTTTTAGTACTTCGTTTAAAGCTCTTTTTAAAATTTCTACTTAATTTAAGGCAGGGTTGGCAAATGTGTGGTCCATTGATGGTCCATTAGTGTAATACTTTAACCATATTTAGTATTTTACTAATGGCAATGGACTAATACAAAATCCATCTATTCTCAATGGACCAGTCAATTTGCCAACCCAGATTTAGTGTGATCATTTACTTCTTTTTTTTTTGTTGTTTTCCTTCTGGCGAATTCAATTAAGAGAACTGTCTTATTATTATTTTTTGCTTTTATCATTTTCAAAATTCCATCGAATTTATGCTTCTTAGTGCATTTTGTTCATAATTCAATCCTTAGTGAAAGATATAGAGGATTAGAGAAAATAATTAAATACTTTGTAATTCATAATTGATATCTACCATCCAATGTCCAATAATTCAGCATGCATGCGAAATAACCTGTTTAATATGTATCAGGGTTGGTAAATTGACTGGTCCATTGAGAACTGATGGACTTTGGACTGGATCCATTGCCATTAATAAAATACTAAATATAGTTGAATGTTACATTAATGGACCAAATGGATCACCAATAGACCACCAATGGGACTACTCATTTGCCAACTTTGTTATGTACATAATAATATCTACTGCAAATTTTCATTCCAATTTAAAATATTGTGATTCGTGTGAAATAGGTGCTTCTAACCTAACAGAACTATTAATAGAGAAGTCAGGAAAAATATGAGAAACTGATTTACATGCACAAACAAAAACTTACCAATGAGCAAGAACCTGCTGAACTATATTGTGGTCTTCATAATAATAAGAGTCAAATCTTCCATTAATGAAAAACTTTCAGACAAGAGACAGTATCTGAATTCTGTTGCATGCTCCTTCAGTAAATTGATCAATATAATTTTGAATTCATCAGTTGGATTGAATACTTGACTTTATAAGTAGTTATTTAGCCAACAAATTTGATCATGATTAAAATGTGATTTAATCACTTTGTTTGTTTCTTCATCTGAAACATCTATTATACCATTAAGTGTTGTTGGTGTCATAATGGTCTTTCCTGATTCCATCTCTTTTCCTTTCCATTCTCTCAAAATTACGAGTAGTTGGCTGGATCCAAAAACATTTAAAAATTATGGTGAAATTTTAGCAAATTTGATTTGGCAAACACATAATATAATCAAAGAAAACAAATTACCATTGGAAGAACCAGAATCTCTTGATGAATTTTATGAGGTAATTCCAAAAAATTTCACTAGCTTTTTCAACAGACTAATCACCAATCTATATGAAAAAATATGAGATAGTTAAAAAGAAACAAAGCTTTTCATGAATATTCACTTCATCCTAAAAAATTAAGGTATGAATACATTATGCATAAAATGTAGCAAATGCCAAAATACCTTCTTAAGATTCTTGATTTCTTCATTATTTTGTACTTCATCATTTTGCACTTCATCAATTACTTCATCATCACTTTATACTTCATCAATTACTTCTTCTGATTCTGAATTATATTTTGTGTTTTTATCTTTGTTGACAGTTTTGTGAATTAAGAAATCATTTACCTTTTTGGTTCTTTTGAGAGAATGTTTCTTTCAAAAAGAGAAATTTATCATGGACACATATTAATGTGTGGCCTAGTATTAGGCCTTATAAATTATGTATGCAAAGTTTGATTTCCTATATCTTTTTTGAATAATCAATAATAATAATGACATAAAAAATCAGAAAACAAGAAATTTTACATGCATATTCATATTTCCATATGTATATTTCAAGAACTTATTCAGCTGATACAAATATTTATTTTAAATTATTAATTATTATTTTGTAATGCTCAGTTGACCCAGATATTTATTTTACATTAATAAGCATGGTGGACACTCTTTGTTGTCACATTTGTGCAACGATCAACAAAACAATTTTTATCACTTAATGTAACGCAAAATCAATTATTTTTGATTGGTTAAATCAAATAAATATAATTTTTATTAATTATATAAAAATGATGAAAATTGTATATTGCCATATTTAATTTTTGATCTAAACTTCAAGTCATTACCAAAATCACTAAAAGAAACATTACCTACTTCATTTTCATTTACTTCTACATTTAAATCATCCTCATTTAAATCATCTTCAAGTATTGATGCACTTGTATTTTCTAATCTTTCATTATATGAATTGCTTAAATCTTGTAATCCATTTATAAAATATTCAAGACAATATTGACATCTAAAATCCAGTTTTTGAAAACATTCATAATGATATGCATGACCACATATCAATACACAATCATTACTTTGATTTTCATTTTGTTTAATATTGCAATGTTCATAAAAAAAAATGTCTAAAAGAATTGAAAAAAGAAAAAATCAAAATTTTGGAAAGCGAAGCGAGTAAGTATTGTTTCATAAGAATGATGGTGGCAGTTATCTCCACCACTTGGCATCACTCTAGTTACTTACTAAATTTCCTTTTTTTTTTTTTTTCCGGGAGAAAAAAAATATGCCAGACATCTTCTAGTAGTAGAATTCCAAGACTAATTAATAATAATGGCAACAACAGTAATAATGATGCTACCACTGTAAGTTTATTTAATATAAGTTACTGATATGACTGTTAAGAAAATAAGATACACCTGTAATAGATTTCTTCTTTTTATAGTTTGATTTTTAAATAAAATACATTGCAACCATTAACAGTATTAACCTTTCTTTTGCATTCCTCATGGTTTTCATAGAACTTCTCATCAGAAAGTTATAGTCCTCCTTCTTACCAATCAGCTGATTATGATTCATTAGAATATATACTTCCTCATAATGTTGACTATCTAGTAGGTCTTGGAACAGAAGAATTTGGATTAACAGATAAATCTTTAATGGTAACTATTAGTGATATATATTTATACAAATTATTTTATAATTATATTATTTTTAACTGGATTTCTTCTCCCCTAAATCAGTGGATTGTTGATGATAACAACATTTCAGAATTGTGTGAGAAATTTAGGAATTATTCAATTGAACACTCTAAAGAAAGATTATTGACTGTATATGAAGAATTGTTTGTGTCATTCTTTATTATTTTTTTTTATCAATTTAGTTTAATGTTCAAATTGACATCTCCTTTGGTTCTATTCTCTTCTATTTTCTTTCAGATCACTAAGTCATATTTTTATTCTTAAGAGGATATTAACTGAGGATTAAGAGAGTATGTGGATGAAAAAACATGGTTGAAAATATTTAATGAAATTTGTTCAGAATTTGAATATGTTGATGTTAGCAAAGCTGTGTGGAAAATTTGGAAAAAAATTATAAATGTAATTTAGTCACTCAAATGGCATATGATTTTTATTATTATTATTATTATTATTATTATTATTATATTAATTCGTGATCCGTGAAACATCTGCAAAATTTTCATAACAGAATTTGGCGCAAAATTTTGCAGATCACTAATTAAAACTTTCTGGACTCCAACTTTCACCCCCAACGTAACCACCCTTTATGTTTATATAAACTAAAATTGTACTTTTAACACATGATATGAATCTCGAAGTTTAAATATACA